GCCCCTCTGCCCTATAGATGCCTCTTCCCAACACCCATGGGTGCCCCTGGAGCTTTTGGAAACCATAGATAACCCCCCCTCCCAGGACCCAGGGGTGCTCTGCCAGCCCCCTGCATCCCCTAGACACCCCCCAGCACCCATGGGGTGTGCTGATAGCCCCATAGGTGCCCCATAGATGCCCACTAGCACAAAGGGGTGGCCTGCTAGCCCCTCTGCCCTATAGATGCCCCCCAGCACCCAGGGCTGCCCTACAAGCCCCTCTGCCCTATAGACACCCCTTAGCACCCAGGGGTGCCCCCCCAACCCCTCTGTCCTATAGATGCCCCTTAGCACCCAGGGGTGCTCTGCCAGCCCCCTGCATCCCCTAGACACCCCCCAGCACTCATAGGGTGTGCTGGTAGCTCTTGTGCCCTATAGATGCCCCTAGCACCCAAGGCTGCCCTACAAGCCCCTCTGCCCTATAGATGCCGCTTCCCAACACCCATGGGTGCCCCTGGAGCTTTTGCAGCCCCCTAGACACCCCCCAGCACCCATGGGGTGTGCTGGTAGCTCTTGTGCCCTATAGATGCCCCCCAGCACCCATGGGTGCCCCTGGAGCTTTTGCAGCCCCCTAGACACCCCCCAGCACCCATGGGTGCCCCTGGAGCTTTTGCGACCCCCTAAATACCCCCCAGCACCCATGGGGTGTGCTGGTAGCTCTTGTGCCCTATAGATGCCCCCCAGCACCCGTGGGTGCCCCTGGAGCTTTTACATCCCACAGACATCCCCCCACCAGCACCCAGAGGTGCTCTGCCAGCCCCTGCCCCCCACAGATGCCCTCAGGCACCCATGGGTGCCCCACCAGCCCTTACACCCCGTGGGGGTGCCCCAAGACCCCCTACACCTCTATTCCCCCCCCAGAGCACCCATGTGTTTGCCAAACCCATGCCCCTCCATGCCCCCCCCAGCACCCATGGGTGCCCCACCTGCTGGGCGTCCCCCTCGGTGTAGGGCAGCTTGGTGGAGACGTGGAACATGATCTCCTTGTCGCGGAAGTGGCAATAGACCGACTCGCTGCCCGTCTGCCCGTGGGTCACGTCCAGCCCCCCCCGAAACCTGCGGGGAGAGATTTTGGGGGTGGGATGGGACGGACACGACAGACACCCTGAGCCTGGGACCCATGGGTGCCTCCTTCTCCCCCCACCCCAACCCCCCCCCATCCCACACCCCTTGAAGTCCCGCACCCGCCCCCGCTGACCCACCACCCCCAGGAACTCGG